CGGGCTCCGGCCGCGGAGCGGGGGCAGCGGCCAGGGGGAAGGAAAGGACATTCTCTCAAGAGGCTAAGTGCTGTGAAGTGCGTGTGCTTTATTCTCGGCTCCGGACGCACAGGGGGTGCCTCCTCCACCCTTGTGCGCGGCTTACGGGGTAAGGTGGGAGGTATATATACAGCTGATGCATCATTACACATAATAGTTCTAAGAAACAGTTTACATATTCATTAGTTTCCCGGTAAATCATTTACATAAGTGTCCGCCCATTATCGCAGGCGTGTTAAGTCTGTTGGGGTCTTTTGGGGGTCGTTGGGACATCCTTGAGCCTTCCTGACGGGAACCTTTGGCCGAATTGTGTCTCTTCTCCCTTTTATCTCTGCTGACTGTGCAGTAGAATTGGGTTACAGCAGGTTCAACTTCATTCTCAGTTGAATGGCTTCTTTCTTCTTCAAGGACCCTTGTATTTCGTTCCCTAAAACTGTAGATAAGCTCACACAATAGGCTTTTACAACTCAGTTGCAGTAGGTCCAAATGAAAGGTTTAAAACCTACAAGCAGTTAACTATTTAAAGTCAGATTTTTTTGGTTGGTGCTCTTTTTCATTGACCCACCCGTGTTACGGGAGTGACTGCAGGTTGATTTGCAGGCTGATCTCCAGCGAGTTTCTTGGGCTGATGTCTGAGGTGTAAGTGACGGTGGTGTTGGGGGTCAGCTGCTGGTATCCTGAGGCCAAACCTCATGCAGACAATCTGTCATCTGCACCTGGCTTCCACGTCAGCTGCTTTCAGACAAACGTGGCTGGGCTGCTTCTCCCAGCGGCTGTAATTCCCACTCATGCAGGATGGATAGCTGTGATGGCAGTATGATGAGAATTTTTTAGGTATTTATTATATTAGTCTCCATGCAGCCTTGATGTCTTGAGAGAAGTCAAACAATGGCATAAATATAGGATTCTCCTCCTCCCCCCCAAAAAAAAGCCTGAACCCCTCAAACTTTACTCAGCAGGTCAGCTTAGTTAGTGCAAAATACATATGTCACAATTGGTGTTCCTACCATAGGTAGGCAGCATTAATTCAGGTCTGTGTCACCTGCTTAAATTTCATTCAACACTTTTCCTATGTGTATTTTTTGGCCAAAATGGTAGTTTATGTTTTGAAAATGTACCCTGTGTGTCAAAACTCTGGCTTTTGACCTGCTGGAAGCTTCACCTGGGACCTCATACTGCTAAGGAGTGGTAAGTGACTGAGAGAAAAGGTATTCCTCTGACAGCTTTGGTAAAGCTTTGTCATAAAAAATAGGGGAAAAAAACAACAAAAACAGCAAGCCCCATGGAAAATTTATATGACCTTGTACCAAAACTTGAAAGCATAATTTTCAGTGTAGTCAGTTAATGCTGAAAAATAATCTGGTTGTAGATTGAAGAAACCCTGTGTTTCTTTACATCAGATGGTGCAAATTGTAAAGCAGATGGAAGCATGCACTATTTGTATGTAATTTCAAATCAAACTGTTAATGACAAATCTCTCTGAACTGTATAGACATTTTATTATTGCCCCATTGAATCATAATGTATTATAACGTATTGTGAATCTGTGTAGGCATCCTCTTGTGGAAGAGATTAGCTAATATCTCCATTTGCGATCTGGAACTCATTAAAAATATATTTTGTCATTTTTTAAAAACTCCTTAGAACTATTTTATTAAAAAGGTCAACCATATCAATAGAAACAAAGATTTCAAATTAGTGGACTTGTAACATTTTCATGGTTAAGGTGTTTGTCTAACTCAGATAACTAGTGAGTTCAGTAGAAAAATTAACATGGGTAAGACAGACAAGATACAGGAAAAGCTAGAGTATCTTCTAGATAGAATTAATTTAATTATAAACTAAATTACTAAAAGCAACAGTTAGCAAGGTAGCATCCCTGCTTGCATGTGTGTGTCCACTGTCACATCAGCTGGAACTGCTACAACTCAGAATAGCTGGAGCTGTTCAATTCGTAAAGAGTTTTCTCAGCTGTGTTTTTCTGTGAGACAAGTCAGAGGTGATATTAACCTGGTTTAACACTAATATTTTGAGTCTTTCTGGGCTCCATCTTATATACTGAGGTCAAATGAAGCCAGTGACTAAGGAGCCTGGTAGGGGCAACAGCTTTTCCTATCTCATTAATTCCATTCATATTTGTTGGATCTTACTAGAAAAATGTGCTGGCAGCTCTACTTTGGGGTCGATCCCAGAGGCTTAGTAGATTCATTAAGCAGACTATTGATTTTTACATTTTTTTAAAGGAAATAAAGAATTCTCTTTTAATTAAAAAAGGAGGGGTTTAGGAGAAGCAACTCCAAATCAGGACTAAGGGACTTCTAAAAGAGGCTACTGTGTGCGTCCTCGCATGAATGTGATGTACTCTACCCTCTCTTCCCTACAAACTCCCTCTCTTGGGAAGAGAGCTGTGGGGACAGGGCTCAAGTGAGAGAAACAGGGTAGCAGCACTATAGCTCCAGATTAGTTGAGTGCTGTAGTTCAAGCAGTCTCTGAAGTAAAAGATGCAGAACAAAGCTTTTGCTCTATCAGACTACCCTCCGTTATGCCCCAACTATTTAATCATATGTTGTCCTGAAAAAATTATTGAAACAATGTTCTTACTTTTCCTTTTCTTGCTCACCATGGTTCTATTATATGGTGTTTGGATGAGTAAAAAATGCATTTTAGCTCTGGTGCTATAGTAATCTTCTGCAAGTGAAGCAGAGGGTTTTGGGAACTGGTTTTGCAGTAATCCTGAGGTCACGTACTCTGCTGCTTCTGGGTCTTTGATCAAGAGATTACTCTTAGTCAGTGAGGTGTCAGTGGTCGTGGACATGTGGCAGTAGTACTGTTGTATTGTCACAGTTATTGCTGAATTAACTTAGATTTATTAATTTGGCTATTCCTCAAATACTGATTTCTGCAAAGTTTTGAAAATTTTAGAGGTGGGAAGCAGTCCTGCTGGGAGGCAAGAAGAGTGTGCATTTTTGCCAGGATGGAATAAAAGCCCTGGAAAATGATTTATTGGTGACATCTTTGGTATCTGCTCTCCCACCATAGGTTGGATAAAGGAATGGTTTTGGGTCTGAAGGCTGAAATCAGAAGTCTCTGATTTCCTCTCAGGCTCCGAGTTTGAAATAGCATTTGATCACTTTCATTCTTCATACGGAATTTAGGTTGCCCAAAGCAAGAAATCTGATGTTTCTAGGACTGTGCTGTGCACCATCTCTGCTATAGCATTAACCACATTTTATGGCAGAAAATACGCCATCAGCAGTGGTCTCGTGCATTGCTAAAGTCAAGCAGGATGGGAGTGCCTGAGGGATGAGGATGTTTATTTTGTACTGCAAAAAACTGTGATACTATCATTTGTACTTTTTTTCTTGCATCTGTACAATAACAAAAATGCATGATTGATTTAATAACTTGAAGAAAAAAGCCCACTTTTTTTGTGGATTTCTTATGTCTTGGAACTAGGAAGACAGCAGAAGTGTGCTGAGTACAATTCAGTTAATTTTACAAATATTTGTTGAGCAGTATTTGCCAGATAGCTTTCAAACCTGTAGAAAAGTGGTCAAATTCCAAATTTTAAAAATTTCAAACGAGAGAGTGATATACAGGGCAAAGATCGGATAAAAGATGCACCCTTTCTCTCGTGTTTGTATGCCATCACCTTTGGATTTACAAGGGCATTTTTTTGCCAAATTTCACCAAATAGGTACTATAAAAATGTCAAGTGTCTTGAAAGTCTTAGGGAAATTGGTTTGTCTTTTTTCTTTAGAGGCTGGAGTTTCTCATAGAGCACGTTTTGCAACACTCCCATGTGTTTGCTGTGCTACAGCTCCCTCACGTGGTGAAATTATTTCCCATTTGGAATTTCAGCTTGGTTTCTGTGAAGCACTTGTAAAAATTTTTCTTCAGAAAGTTTTGAGGCTTCTCTGAACTTCCTCTTTGTTCTGTCTTTTTGTTTTTTATTTTTGGTGTTGGGGTTTTTTTTGTCCCTCAAATATTGAACATTATGAGCAGCTTCTTAGAACTGTGAGTTATCAGAGAAGTAAAGCTGTGGGTTAAAGGGTTAGATTGTGATCTTCATTATGCAGCTGACCTATTGAACTAGGTTGGGCAGGTAATTTCACCCTTTAAGCCTCACTTCTGAGAACTAGAGATAAATAGTTGTAGACTGCCTAGAGTATTTTTAATGCCTACTTCTCAATTCTTTTTGAAGGTAACTCTTAACTATGTTGACCTGACATAGCAGAAAACTCAAAAATCCCTTGTCAGTGGGTGGGCAGTCAGAGATGTGGAAGCTGTCTTGGGTATCACGGACTTCAACTACTCTTTCCACAAAGTAACAAAGTCAACTAACAGAAAGTAAAATCAAAATAATAAAAAGTCTACATGTAATCTCGTATACCAGAGTGGTTGTGTAGCCATGTACCTTCTTGTAGCAGATGCAAAATTCTGTTGTGTTGTGTATACATACAACAAATATTTCTACATTTTTATCATGCTGGAAATGTCTTTATTGGTCTGTTTTGTGCTTTTCCTTAAAAATTAGTGTCATGTGCTAATTTTTCTATTTTTAACCCTACTCTGGCAGAAGTCTTTGGCCTCTTCTTTCCACTAGTATTTTCCTTGCAAAGTTAGAGACTTACCTGCCCACTTGCACTTTCACAGGACCCAAGCTCCTCTGTATTTTGCATTTGCTCCTCTAAACCACTATATATAATTTCAAGAAAAAGTAGGCAAAATCAGCAATATATATTAATAAAGGAGTATAAAATAGCAATAAAACCTTGTGAGAATATAAATAAAATTAATTAATGTCATAACTTCAGTAAATGTGATAAAAAATGTTTGCCTTTCAGGTTTAAAAATGTCTGACCTGAAAAACATTGTACACAGAGCCCATTGTATTGAAAAACTACTGTCCAACAAGAATTTCGAAGATGTTGAGCATCATCTTAAAGAGCTTGAAGATGTTGATATGACTGTAGGGTATCTTCAGGGAACAGAAATTGTCAAGGCTGTATACCTAGTAGTCAAGAACTGCCCTCCAGTGGAGTTGAAAAAGAAAGCAAAGCAGTTATTATCAAGGTGGAAGGCACTTTACAAGAATAACTGTGCTCAGTTAATGCAAGTTAAAAAGTTGGTTTCTGTGTCCATGAAAGAGGAAATTGAACATCTCAGTGTGGTTCCCAGAGAGCAGTCACTGTCTGAAAGACAGTGTGAACAGGAGGCATTAGATGCTACTAGTTCTAAAATTTTGGTCCCCTTTCAAACTGTTAAAAATGTGGTACATAGCGATGCAGAAAGGAGCATGAATCAGCTTTCTTCACTTGAGGAACGACACATTGATAGTGAAGATTCTAAACCTCTTGTTAACGAAGCAAGTCTGCAGCAGGATCCAATGAGAGCTCTGAGGTGTAAATGTACGGATCTTCTTTACAAAGCTTTGGCTGATAATGCCAAAGATGAACAAGAAACGGATAAATGGCTAGAGCTATCTAAAGAAATTGAAGAACACATTTTTGCTCTTCATGCTAAAAATGACAAAAAGTATAAAAACTGCATCAGAAGCAAAATCTCTAACCTGAAGAACCCTAAAAGTTGCCACTTAAAACATAACCTTTTTTCAGGGACTTTGAGTCCAAAGGCTTTTGCTGAGATGACAGTGATGGAAATGGCCAGCAATGAACTGAAAGAGCTCAGGGCTTTGTACACAGAATCATCTGTTCGGGAACATCAGCTCCCACAAGTTATTAATGGCACACAGACAAACAAAATAAAGTGTAGGCGCTGTGAAAAATTTGACTGCACCGTCACTATGATTGCCAGAGGAACTCTCTTTCTTCCAGGTTGGGTGCGAAACACAAATCCAGATGAACAAATGTTAACTTATGTTATTTGTAATGAATGTGGAGAACAGTGGTATCACAGCAGATGGATTTGTTTTTAACACTATCCCTCCTTAATAAGTGGTTTTAAAACATAAGTATGAGAAGGCATTTGTGTTGAAATTGTGTAATTTAAAATTTTGTATTGATTATGTAGATGCTGCCACTAAAAAGTGCAAAATCAGTTTTTAAAAATTGCTACATTATTTTGAAGATGAATAAATCTATGTTTTCAAGTCATGTCAGTATGTAAAGAAATAAAAGTAAAAAGGGAAACAATGGTAACACTACATTGGAGAGAGATGTATTCACTAGTAAACCCATTAAAAATATTCCAAGTGCTGCAATTATTTCCCCAAAGTTCTGAGTACTTGGAATTTTCATTATCTTCAGCTGGAGTTCTTTCACAGAATGCATTTCATTTACAGTAAACAGTTTCACATACTTATTGTATGTGAATATTGTATGAAATTATTGTGCATTGCAGAATGTTCAGCTTGGATTCACTCCTTAATTAGATCACTTTTTTACAAGTAAGTGTTAGATTATTAAGTTGGTTTGAGACGTAATGTCTAAAAGGAGAAAATTAATGAAAAATAGAGTGTAAAAGGAGAATGCAGTTAGGAAATTAAAGCAAAAATGAAAATCTGCTTTAGCTTTACAGCTATTGGGAGGAAAATATGACTTGTGACAATCTTATCACTTGAGAGTTCACATTTGCAATATATGGTGGTGTGTCCAACTGTTAAGAAATTAATGCAGGATCAGATAATGGTTTATTTGAGAAAATTATGTAAATACATTATTAAATGTATATTTATTTAATAAATAAAGGAATTAAGTTTAAATGAGTTAATCACCTTCTGAATGGATATTTTGTCTTGAACTAGGACATTTGTCCTGAACTGAGCAAATTGATGTTTTTATATAGTGCAGCTTACCCAGAAAAAAATTACTAGAAGGAAATCTAATTGCTGAAGATTTTATACATGTTTTTGTTTCAGAATCAGCAGGATTCCCACTGGCTGTATAGTAGAAGCATTTGTTTACCAAAAATACCACTTTAGCCTTCTTCTCACTCAAGTAATACCCTTGAGGTATTACTTTAAAAATCAGCTGTCTGAATACTTTGAATGGAGTATATATCAGAAGCCAGGGAGGTGTGTCATTCCTGAAGTGGGAGAACCACCAGAGTTCGAGTGCCTTTCACAGCTGTCTGTTGGTCTGTAGAAGACTATGTTCATGCTGTGTCCCCCTGTTTTGGTTTCTTCATTGTTTTTTACTTACTGTAAATGTTTAAATGAGAGGAAATGGGTCTTGAATTGAGTCCTAATTTCTGAGCACATGAATGTGTTAGCTCACAGACCTTAGCAATTGTTATGAAGAGTAAGTGCCTTGCATAAGAGGTTAGCTCCTGCAGCAAAGCAGCAGTACTGTTTGGAAACATAACCTTCATCCTGAGTTTCCATCTTGGAGTATGGACAAGACAGTGAAACTGGTCAATAAATTGCCAAAAGTCATTCATTAGGCACAGAGGAAAGTGTTTATTTTCACCCTGTTGTATAAACACAATAAAACTGCATACTTGGCATTAATGGAGATATCTTTTACAAATGTACAACAGGCATTTTGCAGTTTAGTGCTAAAATGCATCAGCTGAGCAGAGAAACCTATTTACTGGAGGAATTAAGGACAGTGCCTGTGGCCACCTGGCTGTAACACAGCAGAGGCTGGTCAGCTTCTCTGGGCCAAGGCGTTGCCCTGCAGCTCTTGTGCTACATGGCTTGTCAGAGAAAGGAGTTGGAGGCTTGAGATGAGAACATAGCTGCTGGTCAACTGAAAGCCAGCCAGGACTAAAAGTGAAACAAACGACAGGCCTTTATTGCTATATGGTGAAAATGGTATGTAATCTGATGTTACAAAGCGGTGCTCACTATTTTTCTACTGAAAGAAAAAAAGAAAAAAAAGAAAAAAAATCCATTCTGTGAAGTGTTAACAGTTAACTGTCAGAGATGTGATTTACTATGTTATTACTCAGATTTTTATCATATGAAAATGTGTGGTTTAGTGGAATTGCAGTGGTGTAAAACAAACGTGAAGGCATTAGGACAGACCCTCAGTGTGCCAACTGTATAACCAACCACTTAACAACTGACCTTCCTTTCAAGCCCTTACGCATGTTCTGGAAATGATTCATATAAATAGTTCCACTTATTGTAGTAGAAGTACTTCAGTACAAAGTGTTATTTTTGGTTTTCAATAAACCTTAGGAAAGCACACACTTCTGTGTTACTGGTTCACAGTAAGCAGAGTTGTGTGCTGTCCTTTTCATAGAAACATAGAATGTTTAAGGTTGGGAGGGACCTTAAAGATCATCAGGTTCCAACCTCCCTGCTATGAGCAGGGACACCTCACAGTAGACCAGGCTGCACAAAGCCTCATCCAACCTGGCCTTGAACACCTCCCCTCCAGGGAGGGAGCTTCCACAACTTCTCTGTGCAACCTGTTTCAGCATCTTCCTACCCTCATGGTGAAGAATTTCTTCCTGATGTCTAACCTGAATCTCCCCTCTTTCAGTTTACAACCATTACCCCTTGTCCTATCACTGCCCTTTCTTGTGAAGAGCCCCTCCCCAGCTTTCCTGTAGATCCTTCAGGTACTGGCAGGCTCCTATAAGGTCTCCCCAGAGCCTTCTGTTCTCCAGGCTGAACAGCCCCAACTCTCTCAGCCTGTCTTCACAGCAGAGGTGCTCCAGCCCTTTGATCATATTGGTGGCCCTTCTCTGGACCCTCTCCAACAGGTCTATATCTTTCCTGTGCTGAGGGCTCCAGAGCTGTACAC